TTATTTTTTATGTCAGCAAACTGAAAAATTCGTAACAATAACCAAAGATAGATAGTGGCTAATAGTGGAATCCATTTTGATGCTCATTTGTCCTAACTCGGACTCGTCTGCTTGATGTACCTGCATCTCACAGTTGATGTTCATACCAGGAGGGACTCGAACCCAGTACCGTTTGCTTTAAATGTCATCGCATTATCTACTTAGCTACTAAGTCCTGATAGCCTGCAATGGAGTGAAGTTTAATTCACTTGGTGTTGTTTTACTTGTATATTCCTATTGTTATTTAGGACTACAATTGATCAGTCTCTTGTTTGCATATGTACATCCTGTGTGGATTACCTCGATATGGCCTTAGGTCACAATCTTTTTAAGCAAAGATTGATAGTGGCTACAATGGGAAAATACAAGTAAAACAACACCAAGTGAATTCGTGACAATAGTTTAAACTACAGAATTGCAAAACAGTTTTCACGCTATAAATGCAAATCATTTGAGATTGCATAATTCCAACACAAGCTTTGTAAGTACTTTATTTAGACTAAACATGTATTGGATTCTTAAGGAAATATAATTATTGGGTAAACTGAGATTTCTTTTTTTAGCCAAAGGATATGATAAGTTGACAGCTAGGAAGGATCAGATGACTGTTTTAACCTAGTTTGTGACTCCAAAACAATATGAACTAGTGAGTCGACACAATAACTGAGTCTGGGACAGTTATGCTTGGTGGTGAAATGTTAGGTGGAAATCATTAAGATGTTACTTTTTGAGATACTAACAGGATGTGTTTCGTTGTCAGTATAATATAACATCTCTGTTACGTTAGTCTGTAGCTCAAAACTACAATAAAAGTGATATCCAGTGTTCTATAGATTTTACTGGTTCTCTTGCTGACTTCAGTTTATGACGAAAATGTATTAACTAACTGAAAAAAAAACACTCCTTATTAAACTAATAATCTCGTGCACTCTGTTCGAGGATATGTTTTGATATCGATTTCCAGAAGTTCTAATAAGAAGTTGATCGATGGAGTCAGTCACGTTGAAAGTAAAATAGCAACTCACCAATGACATAGTTTGAGGATATAGTTATATCACTTATTGACTACTGTATGAAGTTAGTAGGCGGACACTACCCAGGATAAAGAAACCAGTACAAAATAATTATCCACTAATATCAAGTCTTCAGTGCTATTTTAACAAACCTTATTTTATAAGGGAAATCATTTTCAAACCACTGAAATATATCCCCTAAAAATATGAAAAATGTTCATTCGTTTAACCGATAGCACATTAGTACTTCATAGGTATTGGGATGTATTTATGATGAATTATTGTTTTCTTTCACCTCGTCTTAACCTTCTAATCTCAATGATAAGTTTGTTAAATGAACGCTCGATCCGATTTCCTAGCCGCTTCTGATAATCCCGGGATAAATCTATACAGAAACTGGAACACAAGAGAAAAGGCGCGCAGTGCGGAGAAAAACTTTTACTCCAAGGTTAGTTTATGTACAGAAAAACGAGGGTATTTGCTGAGTTTTATATGACCTTGAGCTACTGTAATTTCATGGAACTACACTAAATAAAGTAGCGGGATAGGCAAGTATACAGTTAAGAAAGTTAAACGTCACTCATCACTTTCTAGGTGTTTCTGTGACGCTCTTATTCAATGCTGATTGGATAGTGCTTCTTAGCGTTTTCTGAACACCTATAGAATTTTCCGAAGGATACTATGGAAATCTTAACACTTAACAGCTTAATGTATAACGAAAAAGATGTTTCTTCACACGCTGCCAAATAGTTGATCAAACAATCTCACAATATTTTCTTAAATATATAAGTTGGATATTATTGAAACTTTCTGTTTTGATAGTCAAACCTCCTTGATCAATTCTGACTAAAATATATCAATATTTGAAGCGGTTTTTGAGGATATTATAGTAATTTTAATAGTTGAAATCGTGAGTTAATTGAAGCTAGACCACCATGGAAAACCTCGAAGCACTGGACAGCCGTTTCGCTCTATTGTGAGACTTCTCAGTAGTGCGCATCCACGATCCCGCCTCGCGAGATTCGACAGCGGTGGATGTGTCACTCAATTTCGTGTATATGCTGAAGTCAGATATTAATACCGTTGGATGCCGGCCAGCTCAGTGGTCTACAGGTAAAGTGCTTCGCGCGAGACCGATAGCTCCTATGTTCGGGTTTCTCAAGACGGGATCGTGGGTGCGTACTGCTGAGGAGACCCACTATAGGACGAAAGAGCCGTCCAGTAGATTCAAGGTTTTCTATGGTGGTCTAACTTTAATTGACTCATGATCTCAACTATTAAAATACATTTGTACACATATTTACGACGATAAAACTGATGGGAAAGAGAACTTTCAAAAGTACTCTTTTTTAACAGTTGTATAGTACATAAGAGTATAATCTACAATATACAAATAACTGGGTAAGAATAAAACATTTTTTCCGCATTTAGATTTAATTGATCTGAGTCCAATTCCTAGCTTTGCTAACTCAATAATTACATACTTGTATACCCTGTTTTGAGGTACATGTTTCTATGTAATAGTTAGTAAATATACCTATTTACTTTAACCAAAGGATGGCGAATAAAAGACCAAACCTTGTTGTAATTTATGGAGATACTAGTTTAGCTACTGGTTTGGAGACGAAAATGTTCCTGCTTGTTACATGTTACAACAGGTCAAGACTGATATTGCTCGACGTAGAGAAAAAAGGCAACACTGTAGATGAACTGATCGATTACTAATGTTAGAATACAATGAATGGTATATGATTGACTTATTAGTCGATAGTTTTATTCGAATATAATGAACTAGATAATAGTTTATATCAAATAATCAATAACTAAGTGGATGCACACAATTTACAATGTCAATAGATTTAATTACATTCATTAAGAATATAATAAACTAGTTAGTTATATATTGACTTTTTCTTGATAAACTTGCTACTTGCTTACTACAAGTTCTTCTTTTTACATTCAGTCAGTCAGCTACAACGTAGAACCAGGCACATATATATGCATCGCTCCAAGTTGCCATACCTCACTCATTAACACAACAAGATAAACACCGAATTCATAGAAGTAGTTAATTCAATGGTGGTAATATATAAAGGAAAGATTGCATATAAGGATATAGTACAGGAAGAAAGAATTAGTTTGTAGAAAGAAAGATATGAAGCGACTTTAATCTCATAGTTTAAGAGAAGACAAAGAGTGTATACACCTAAACCATTGTGGTCGATTCTGAGCCATGTCACCCACAGTCTCAAACCATTGGTCACGCGGACCCAACCAAGCAGTTCGCATCTACCAAGATGACTCAGACCAGAAGTCAGTGACTTCAACGACTGATGCCACGTTTTGGTGTGGCCGGACCTAACTCTCTTCCAACCATCCGCAACACTAGTCAGCATTGAGCGTCGTGGTAATCGGTGTTCAGACATACGCAACACGTGGTCCAACTATTTCAGTCGAGGAACATTCACAACCTCATCAACTGACTTACCATCATTCCCTAATACCCTGTGTCTAACCTCACTATTATTTACCTGGTGATTCCGGCAGATGCGAGCAATGTTTCTAAAGCAACTGTGGTCAAATAATAGTACCCAGTAATAAGAACTAGATATCATCATTGCTCAACTAATCTAATCAATGTATTCAGTTAACTAGTTATTAAAACACTGAATTAAACCAACATTTATCCATTCCATCATAGATGTTACTAAAAGTCATAATGAAAATAAGTCAAAAAAATTGTTCATCTATTAAACGACATGCATTTATTTGTATGTGGTATGATACATTTACAAATAGTACACATTCATTGTGAAAACCAATTGCCGGTTCGATGAAATCAACTCAAGTGTGACTAGATTTCGAGCTTGTAACCTTTATGATCGAAAATTCCAACATACAAAGCAAACTGTTCTTACTTCAACATATAGAAAATTGCACTCAGTTATAATTTACTATTTTAATACAACAATATATACATATTATTGACAAGAGAAATTTCCCCAAATGCATTCACACAATGACTGATTGAGCATAACTCATGTGTGGACGAGAATGATAATGATTGGTTGTCTGCTTAGTCAGACGTGTACATAGTCTGATAGGTGTCAGATAAGTTATATATTCCCTTATCCTTATAATTATTATGGCACACTTATTATTGATTGTTCATGGTTGTTGGATTGTGTCGGGTTTTGGTGTGGAAATATATTTACGTTGTGGTCAGACTAATCATGTGTTCCTGATATGAGTTGTAGAATAGACACTGGGAAGGATCTAGTGTAGATAATCGTTTAAGGTAAATTAACGTCCCATACGTGGAAACCCAACCGTTATAACATTAGACGAAGTAAAACCGAGCGTTATAACAATTGGCGATGAGGTAAAAAAACAAAGAACCGAGGGTAAAAAACCACAAGTTATAACGATAACAATCCAATCTTAGTTACTAAACAATAAAATTTATCTAAAAACTGTCTGAATTAGAGTTGAAGCATACATTAGCGATGTTGTAATTCACTTATAAATATTGACTAAGCAACACATTATTCTACATTACTAAAAACTGCATATTTGAGATCTTTTCTAACGAACAGTCTGATATAAACTTAGTTGAAGCAATTAGTTGTCTAGCTTTTTTTTATCAAAAGGGTTTGTTTTTGTGGATATATTATAGTAATTTCAATAGTTGAGATCATGAGTCAATTGAAGCTAAACTACTATGAGAAACCTGGAAGCAATGGATGGCCATTTGATCCTATTATGAGACTCTTCAGTAATGCACATCCACGAATACAGTTTAAAGAACATAAGAATCTAACACATAATCAATATATATGAATTACTTAACTCAATTGTTTAATTAATTATACAAGTATATTTTAAAACCTTATTACCCAGATTAATCAGTAACAATAACATGAACACGGATACATCAAAACAAATAATTGATGATATATCTTTTTGTTTTCACTGATTATCTATAAAGGATTAATGGAAGAAAATAAGAGAACATTAACGAGAAGAAAAAAACATAAAGGACAGCAGAATAAACAAACAAAGAGAAGGAAAACAATGAGCTCAGAAAGAATGACAAAAATGAAAAATATCGGGTAGCTTTCCCCCCTCACAAGTACAAGCAATCAAAATGATACTGATATTAGTAGTAACGAAGGATGAATGTATTATGTGTATTTGTTTTACCAATATATATGTCCATGTCTCATAAGATAAGTAATACCAGCGTTTTTATTTTGGATATAACAGTTCAACTCTCTTACTATTTGCACATGTTATATGGTATATGAGAAATGAAATGTAAGCAATTGATTGAAAAAAAAGAATAACTAAGAAAGAATTACTTGAAATTCTTTTCTTTTCTATATCTATGTACGGTAACAATGTTCATTACAGTGAATATCAGCCATCACCATAGTAATAAAGTGTAAATGATCATCAAAAAACGATACATATGAATAAAAGATAGAATTTTATTGTGTTACTAGGATATAGAATTGAGCTAATACAATCTACACATAGTCTTGTATGATGGTCAATTTTTTGTGCACAATACCAATATTATGAATGATAGTAATGATCAGTGAACAAGTAATATCCAAAATAATAATAATAATAATAATAATAATAATAATAATAATAATAATAATAATGTTAATAGTGACTAAAATTACGAGTTACTTAATGAAAGGATTAAAAACAGTTGAAACAATTTTGAAAAAAAAAATCGAGTAACGGTTTAGATGGAAACATGTAGATTCCATATTACCACTTAAGTAAACAATCAACAACAACAAAAAAAGAGGAAAATACATATATGTACATAATTTTGTTTTAAATTATATATATATAAAAACAAAATATATACTGTACTCACTATGATCTGACTCATCTCCTTTCACTAATCAAAGAATATGAACATCCATGAAAGTTGGATCATTCGATTGAACACAAAGAATAGTGTAATTATGATAATAATAATTATTATTATAGTAATCGACGATCACATGTAAATCAAGACGTTAATCATCAAAAGTAATTCATAATTAACGTCTTAATTCTGGTACTTTATCTAAACTACCAAAAATATTTTTTAGTTTAGCTTCATAATCGTCAATATTCCTTCTGAGTATATCTAAGCAAGGACCAAGTAAACGTTCAAAACTTCCAACATCCAATACAGCAAGTTTAGTATGACCATCAGCATATGCTGAAGCAGCACGTGGATGACTTGTTAATAAAGCTAATTCACCAAAATAACCACCTTTTTCAATAACAGCTACTTCTTTTTCTTCTGTTTCTCCACTTCTTTTCATTTTAATGCGTACTTTACCTTCTTCAACAAAGAACATTTCATCACCTGGATCACCTTGTTTGATAATTTGTTGATTATCTTTGAAGATTTTTGTTCTTAATGCATCTGCAATACTCATGCGTTCATAAGCACTGAGACTTTCTAGGATTGGTACTTGATTAAGCAGTTCTTCATATAATCTACGTTTTTCAAATGCTTTTTTCAATACAATTGAACGAAAAACTTCACGTGTCATTACCCAAACTACACCTTCAGTTTTGGCTAAAATGGTTGCAGCTCGTGGTGTATTATACATCAGTGCCAATTCACCAAAAGACCCTTTGTTGTCGTATTTTCCAACAGTTTTTTCTTCATTACTAACTTTCACAATGATATCATAAACTCCTTTTTCTATTACATAAAAATTATCACCATCTTCACCAAGTGTAATTACTTTTTCACCAGGTGATACATGACGTTCGTACATGGCATCAATAACATCTTTCATTTGATCATCATCAAGACATCGGAAAAGGAGAATATCTTTAGTGGCTTGAGCTAATCTTCGACGTTGTTCTTCTGTTTTAGGATGTACAACTTTCTCTACATTTGAAGTATCATCTTTTTCTGGATCATAACTTTCCGCAGCTACACCAGCTCTTCGAGTAGCTCGTTGTGGAGGTATAGGCATAGGTTCTTCATCTTCATCTTCACTTTCAGTTGTTTTATTTGGACGATTTTCTGATGCCGCCTTCTTCATCATTAGGAAATCAATAGCAAACTGAATTAAATTATCAGGGTGTTCTCGCAGTATAGACACAGTTAATTCTTGTAATAATTCCCTTAGACCAGGGGGAACGACAACTTCGTCCTTCATCGTCATTATCATACAATAGACTTTCAGTATATACGATAAATAATACTATTGGTTTTGAGATTTGAATAATCAACAATCACAAACTTCGTCTACCACTTAATCAAAAGCGATAGATTTGATTGGTTACCACTTGAAGGTCACGTAGAGGTACACACACATCAAGCAATAGACAATTATTAGTATGTTAGTAGTCGTCAGAATAACATGAAGGGGGGTGGCAGTAGTAGTAGTAGTAGTAGTTGGACAGACAAATTCCACTTATCACAACAACAGTTATGTCCTTATTTTTGTTGCTAAAATGAAAGAAAATTTAAGGATTTTTAGCTGGTTCTGACGGATTAGATTAATGAAGAAATGTTGGAATTTTTCCTTATGGTTAAGAGTCTCCACTTTGGAAAGAAAATGGTTGAACACTACCACCACCACAACAAACAACTACTACGGTTACTTGAGTTCATTCCACTAACCTGTCTGTTCTCTATCCTTTGCCTACAGACATATAAAATATTTTCTAGGTTAACAAAACTTTCCATATGTCAAATGTAAACATTGCTCAATATTAGGGGAAAAATAGTTACACAATCAATGGTTATAAACTGATCAATAAAAGAAAATGTTAAACTCTTATTAATTTGTGCATTATGTTGACCTTTTAAATATGTCATAGATATTAAACCTACAATTTGATAGTAGTTAAGATGTACTTTAATTCACCCTTTAAATGCCCGGTTGGCTTAAATTGGAGAAGGGAAATATAGAATTGTAATAACCAATGAAATTGAATTTTTCTACTCAGTTGGGATATCCAACAAAATGGTTTAATATCAGTAACTGATAAACAATAATCCTTTAAAGAGAGCAAGAACAAAAATTGGTGCACCAATTTTTGTTCTTGCTCTCTTTAAAATAATAAAGGGAACTATGTGTATGAAATAATCCTTTAATTTAATAACTTGTGTTTCACTATAGAATATTCTAATAAATTCCTATTTTAATAATTAAATTCATAAGTCAATCGAAGCTAGATCACTATGAAAAACCTGGAAGCATTGAAAGACAGTTTCCTCCTGGTATTGCATTCCTCGTCAATGCGCGTCCACGATCCTGTACCACGAGATTCGAAATCAGGACATATCAGTCCTCTTTATTACCCATAAAACTTGTTAATATTCAAAATACAAGTGAATAGGATTTTTAAACGGTAGTTAGTTGTCATACGTCTTCATTAATGAAATTTTTCTGACCGATTTAACTCTTAAGATAATTTGATGAATGAATTCTGACATACTTGTCATTTCAGTGACAAAAGAATATATGGGAATAAATATATGTCAATAACTGTGATGATTTCTTTCGAATTTAGCAGTGGTTATAGGCTGTAAGCTTGTTATCAGATCGTTTGAGTGAGTATATTGGGTGATTAAAGTAAACAGTTAGTCAGTTAAAACAGAAAAAAACAGTGGTTTAGAGGTTAAGCGTTCGCGTGCGAGGCTGATATGTCCTGGTTTCTAATCTCGTGGTGCACGATCGTGGACGCGCACTGATGAGGAGTCTCATACGAGAACGAAACGGCCATGTAGCGCTTCCAGGTTCTCCATAGTGGTTTAGCTTTAGTTGACCCATGATTTCAACCATAAAATTATTAAAATGTCCACAAAGTCCCCTTCTGATTAAAACAGAAAACTTCCTCGAAATATTTGAGAAATTCACTGACTTTGGAGGCACATCGATATAAATGTTTATGTTAGAACTAATTAACCCTGAACTCAAGTTTCACACTAGTTGGTAGTCGTCAACAGGGCAAAGATGAAATCTTTAGAGAACTGATATTTTCCATTTGTATCAATCGCGTGTCACCCAGCCTCAGCCTAAAACTTTACTAATGAGGTGTTCGAGTATTCATCGATTCCAAAATTATTGCTAGATGACCTGATTGTCATTTGCTATTAACAAGTGGTTTAGTTTAACCATGATGTGGACTAAGTATGGATGTCAAATCAATTGTCTAAAGATAATGTGCTTATCTCGAATGGTGCTACAACGTCCATTGGTTCAGTACCTAGGGATGGAGTGGATACCCACTGCTGAACAGTTTGGAAAATGGGATATAACAGAAAACGCCTTGTAAATCATGAAATTCATAAAACAAAGATATTTTTCTGTTGAGTTCTAGATTACCCCAAGTTTATGTGCTAATATCTATGAAGAATATATGATTTTTAAGCATCACCATAATTCTTTGACAAAAGTCCTTGATATATAGAAATAATTTATCACATCGAATTAATTACAGAAAGCGAAGGAACACTGTACAGTAAGGTACTACCCAGCTTGCACACTAACGATACCGCTAGAGGTTGAACTCAAAACTTTCAGTTCTTTCTGCAAGCGCCTACTCTTCAAACCAATGAGTTTGTATTCAATGACTAACACTTATAGCTTCAACACAGCGATCTTTGATTAACGTTTCTGCTAACTGTCTGATGGCCTCATAATTGGATTTCACTAGTTATGGCTTCAGGAAAGCACGTGTTTATTATTAAGATGGGGGGGGGGACTACTCATTTGGAAGATAGTACACGTGAGTGAATAACGGTAGCCTAATAATTATCCTTACAATCCATAAACAAACAAACAAACAATACAGACTCACATTGTATGTATGTATGTTTGATAATTGTAATTTGGTATCTTCTCATTCTCACATCATTGATTTAATTTTATATCATTATAGATAGATAATCGATCAGTTTTCAGTAATTGATTTTTTTTCATAAGGAGATCACGTTTTATTTTCTTTAATTTTCAATTTAGTTGTAAATTCCTTTTCCATATTTTTTTTTGTTTTTAAAAGAAAACTTATTATTATTCAGGAATTCAAATGTACTTTAATCCCAAGGAATAATATGTTGTAATTGCAAGACAGTTAGGTACGTTTTTCACACACACTCTCCATTACTCTCCTATTGTTATTCTCTTTTTAGGGAAATGAGTTCCCAACATTGGTATTTATAGGCAAAGATGGATAGTGGCTAGTAGTGGAATCCAGTTTGATACACGTTTCGTCCTATTTGGAACTCGTCCACTGGATGTACCTATATCTCACAATTGATATCCACTCCAGGACTCGAACCCAATACTGTTCGCTTCGAGTGTCATAGTATTATCAACTCAGCTAATGAGTCATCATAACCACTAGCTTGTGAAATGTGGTCAAGTTTAAATTCATTTTGTATTGTTTACTTGAATGTTCCGTTTGATGTTTAGGACTGCAGTTGATCAGTCTCTTATTGGCATATATGTATTCTGTGCGTATTGCCTCGATATAGCTTTAATTCACAACCATTCTAAGTGAACATGGACAGTGGATAGCAGCGGAATGCAGGACGCGCGTTTCGTCTTATTTGGGACTCGTCAGCTGGATGTACCTGCACCCGAGTTGATGTCCACTTTGGGACTCGAACCCAATGCCGTTCGCTTCAAACGTCATACCTGCTTGTAATGCTTGCGAATTAAGTCAATATCAAAGCAATACGCATAGTATGCACATATGTCAATTAAGAGACTGGTCAATTGAAGTCCTAGCACATCAATGGGAAGACTCAATTAAATGGTATCATGTGAATTTAAACTTTACCACATTGCACAAGCTAGTGACTATGAGGATTCAGTAGCTGAGTGGATAACGCGATAACGCTTGAAGTAAACGCTATTGAGTTCGAGTCCTGGAGTGAATATCAACTGTCGGATGCAGGTATTTCCGGCCGACGAGTCCCAAATAAGACGAAACGCGCGCTCTGCGTTCCAGTTTATTTATTTAAACACATAAACATAGGTACAAGAAGGCACCAAATGGATATGCACCACACAAATCATTTGATTTGTGTGAGGGCTAGAATACCGATCGGGTGCCCAAACCGAATCAGGTGGTTTTCTTAGGAAGCCACACCGAGAGCCTTCAACCTAAGGCAGTGGAGTAAAGTGAGGAGATGCAGTTCCATGGTAGCCGGTGACCAATAATTGGTTCATACGCCATTTGTTCCTCCAGGATACTGAATATCATGTGCACCACTGATTGGGAATCAGGGTGTTTCAACTCACTTTGATGGATCCTCCATATCCACTAACCCGGTTAAAGCGTCGAACATTCATGTTTCGTCCTCTCAGTTTCGTAAACAACAGTAATGCAGCGAGAAGTCAGTGAGTAGGATTTCGCTGTTAGTGGCTGTATGCACGCGGTCATGTGAAAGCATTTCGAGAGAGAGAGAGAGAGAGAGAGGGAGAGAGAGAGAAAGAGCAGACTCTCCCAACTCTCGGCTGTACCAGGGCATTTGGGGGCATTCCACTACTAACCACCATCCATTTTTGCTTAGAATGCTTGTGAATTAATCCAATGTCCAAGCAATACGTATAGTATGTATATATTCCAATAACAGACTGATCAATTGCAGTCTTAACACATCAATCAAAAGATTCAAGTAAAATAATTATCTGATTGACCTTGATTAGATAATGAAATTGTTACTTTAATTCTGTTTTTAATTTGATTCTGACAGATTAAGTTTTGTTTTCTTTTTTTCTTTCCTGTTAGTAATTAATATTGATTAGATCATCATTGAACAAGTGAACAGTTAAGTTAAGGACTTCTATTGAAAATTAGAAATTAAACACGCAAATAAATATACAAGTAGATAATGACCTTATGATTATAGAATAAATATCGGAATTATTATTAATCCTTTTATGTTATTTAGAATGAAATGTTATTCAATCTAATTGGAACATTTGAATTCAGTAGAAGAATTAAGTAGTATGTTGTAAAGTGATTAACAATAATTAATTCCACTGGTCACTGCTTCTATTAGAACTCCGGGATATACCTCTTGAATCCAGTCACTAGTCAGCATATTTTGATTAGTAACAGTAGGGGTTTTGTGGATATTATAGTAATTTTAATAGTTGGATTCATGAGTCAACTGAAGCTAGATCACCATGGAAAACTTGGAAGTATTGGACAGTCGTTTCG